AACCAAGTCCTTGATGGTTAAAGCCATCTCCAGCTGCTTGGTGCAACGGTTTTCCATTGTCCCTGCCCACTGTCTGGGCATCGAACGAGGATCTCGAAGCATTACAACCACCTTGGTCTGCTTCAGTGTATCATGCGGCAGATGCAAAAGGGAACTGGCATTAAACATCGCAACGGTTTTGATCACAACAGCATCAGTACTGCTCTGGCACATCCGGATAATTTGTGCGCCTGCAGACCAATTGCTGACCAAAGTCTCACAGCCCTCGCATCGGTACAAACAGTCCATCCTCTGAAGTGCTTGCACCTCTGCATCAGGTGTCATAACCTTGCGTTCTTCATGATGCCACTTCTGCGGCTCCTTCCAAGCTCCCCAACCACCTTCGTTAAATGGCTCAAACATGTATGGCCTCCCTGCAATCCTGCCGAACAGCTCACCCCAAAAGCAAGACCCCGAGCGGCCCATGCTCATGAAATGTAATCTTCTTGTTTGCTTTAGGGCCTTTATGCCCTTAATCTGCGTCAATGAGGATCCGTCATCACAGGAAGTACTCAAAGCCACCGACACCGTGGCCACCGACGCAAAGGCCCACAGTCCGAACATGAAGCGCAGTCCAGACTGCAATATGAACGGTGAGACATCGTACTGGGCTGAAAGCCAAAAAGCTAGAACTGCTTCTCTGCACAGAATCAAACATCAGTGAGAATCGATTTCTCGCTACGGGTGCTTTTAAAGAGCATTTTCACACTGCCAAGTGGCGGAAATCAGAGCTAGGATGCAATCCACAAGCAGTGGCACTGCAACCGCCCAAGCCCATTTGGGACCAGCCTGCTTTTTGCAGCATGGGCAAAGCGCAAGGATAAGCTGGTGGACAAGCTGCTGCTACTTTGCTGTTGAACTTTGAAACTCCTATTTTATATATATATATAAAGACTCGTCAGCGTCCTTTTCTAGTTCGCTCTGCAGCAGATTTGTCAAAATGATAATAAACAGTTAAGACAAAAATACGAAAAAAGAGAACCGGGTTGGTTACCCCCCCCTTCTTCGGTCCACTACTCAAAGAAGGGGTCGTATCCGGGTAACCTTGTCCCCCCCCAACCAGGCGGGCCAAACCCCAGACCCTGGCCAGGTCCTGGGGAGCTTAAAGTGCGACCCTTTTTTTCGCTCCTCACGAGCTCTTTGAAGGTCGTTTGAGGGGGTTTCTTCCCCCTTTCCACGTCCCCCGAGCCGACGCTTCTCGTCGGGCGGCCTGCTGCTTCGCAGCGGCTCAAGTGTTCTAAAGGACTTGGGGGTGGAATTCTGAAAAAATTTTCTGTACGGTGCCAAAAACTGCTCAAAAGGACCAAGTTGCATTTCTGTCAAGACTGCTCTGGACTCGTTCAGATATAAACGTGCCGTTTTTTGTGCTTGCCAGCGACCTAGAAGCATTACGCGATCTAGGTTCCCATGCTGGCAAAACCACCATGTAGCCCCCCCCCCTTCGGAGGGAATAAGGGCGGAGGTCCAGGGGTTCCAGGTGTAAAGCTTCAACGCAGGTTTTGAAAAGTTTGCGCCAGCGGGCAGCTGGCGGACAAAGACGTTGGTGGCTACTGGCTAAAGAACTCCATTGGTGCAAGTATCGGAAAGCGGTGTCATGGCCGACGGTGACACTTTCTTGGACTCCGGCCCTCTTACCGGCCTTGGTCATGCCTAGACTGACAACGGCGACCCGAAGGCTGTCTGAAATGTCCAACCGACGTTTAGTAACATCTAGCATCTCTCCGGTGCGTAAGATGCCGTAAAAACACCGCAAAAGGCTGGTTGCAAAGGAGAAATACTGATGATACAAACTCCAGCCTACCATGGCATGGAGGAACTACCCAAGCCAGTAGAGCGAAAGAAAGGCAAAGGTTAGGAAGTTTGCGCGGGCTGACAGTGCAACCCGCCACCCGCATCCGATATGATCGCGCTTTGAATCGTTTCCTGGCTTTTCTCAAAGAGGAAGGCCTGCAGTTGCCCAGTCGCCGCAGTTTGTTGGACCCACTAGTCATGGAGTACATAGAACACTTGTGGCGCACCGGGGAAGGGCGTGGTCTGGCCGCCGACACCCTGGCGTCCTTACAGGACTTCGACGCCAAGATACGGGGGCAACTCCCTGGCGCCTGGCGCCTGGCGCCTAGTGAAGACGTGGGTCACTCACGAATTGCCCAATCGGGCGCCGCCCATGCCAGAGCGGCCCTTGGCATGCCTAAATTTAGTCTTGACTGACCACCGCGACGGCTTATCCGCCGGGTTGGGGTCAGTGTGCACATAGCCCCAGAGGGCTCCAACATTGTGCGCCAATAGAAGCGAGTTGATTCGGCAAAGGGTTCTGCGTGATGAGCTGCAGGTCGAAGAATACCTCTCCTCCTTCGGTCCGGCCTTGCGGCCGCTGCTGGCCTCCTCATTTTCGGCGCCATTTCCCTTTACCTTTCCCCTTCAAACGTCGTCCGTAGTCGCTATATCCCAGGGTCTGCCCCCGAATGATGTGCTTGACTCCCTTCCACTTCTTCGCCGGTTGGGGTCGTCGATCACGGAAACCAGGCGGTGACCTTGACGGAGTGCGTGGCCTCCTCGGCAACGGCTTCCTGGCTGAGGGCTTTGGCGGGACCTTTCGAAGTCCTGCTCCCTCCGGATCTCTGGCGACCTCGGTGTCCGGGCTAGCTTCGTCGTCGTGAGGTGTAACCTCAACCTCCTCGTCCTTCACTTCGGCCTCTGCCTCTCCTTCTGCGTCAGCTTCTTCCTCCTCTACTTCAGCCTCTGTTGCTACCAGCTCCTCAGGTTCTGGTGTGGGTTCCTTCTTTGCCTTCTTCCTCTCACGTCTCCGGCTTCTGGTGCGTGACCTTGCCTTGTCCTCACGCCTGCGCCTCCTCTGTTTCCCAGGGTTCTCTGATGCCCCGCCAGTCTCAACCTCCTTTGTTGCTTTGTTCGGAGCTGCTGAAGAAGCCTGTGGATCCCGCTGTCCAGGGTGTACCCCCGCGCTCAACTTAGGTGGCAGTGTAGCCTTGTCCACCTTCCGAACCTCCACCAGATATCCCTCGATGTCGACCAGGCCTGACGTACGGTCCGACTCGAACGCCTCAGTATCGGCCTCGAGCGTGTTGAGTACCTTGGCAAGTAATGCGTGAGCTCCTCGGCCTTGGCGGGAGGGTATCTGGTTTGAACAACACGGTGGATCCTGTCAACCAAGTAACAGGGATTGCACTGCCCCGATGTTCCAACAGGCAATTTCAAGCGGCTATGGCAACCAAGACAGGTCATAGACCACCTGAAAGAGCCAAACACTACGGAACCATCCAAGGTTGTGACTAGTCTTTATCCCCGGGGGCGGGGCACCATATATATTTTTATTTATACAGCGATGGCCTCCAACCTAATAGCGTGCTTGCTCCTAGTAGCGATGCCCTTTGTTCCGAGTAGCTTCTTGTTACTAGTAGCGATGCCAGGAGCGCCCCTAGTAGCGTCCGATCGCTCCTAATGGAAAATCCGGTGATCTGACAAGATTGCAAATGCAGTACATGGTAGAAAACCCCATACATAGGTAGAAAGACAGCTATATTTACGTGGATCACCTAGGACCTTCCGACGCCCCATCGTGGTTTTGTGTTCCAAGCGACGTGTCAATTGCCTAGTTTTGACAAGTCGGAGCGACTGCCCTGCCTCAACTCTCAACAGCGCACAAAGGCCCTGAGAAGCAGACAAAAATGCATGGTACCCAACATGGTCATTGCAAGACAAAGAAGGACGGCCAATTCAACAATTACATTCTACTCGCGAAAAGGTTCACGAACTCCTACGGCTTGGAGTCACTCTAAATTTGGAGCTGTGCCTTGCCCTTCGCCAAAGCCAAGCGCACAGAGAGTTCCTGGGGCAAGGTTCATGCGCTAGTGTTTGCAAATACAAAGAGTTTGAGTCCGCCAACCGATTTGACTCAACATCTCCTGGGCAAAGTACAAAATGGGCACCAGAATTGCTTGAAGCAGCAACAACCTGGAGAGGAATTGCGTGATCACACTGGATGAACAAACATTCTTTGAACAAAGACCCTTCAAGTAAATCTTGCCTTTCCCTTGGGTCTTTGCTACCCCTGAAGTCTCGAATGCATTTTACAGACGTTTCCAAATGGAGCCCCTAGTAGCGTCCTTGCTCCTAGTAGCGATGCCAGGAGCCCCTAGTACCCTAGCAGCGTCCTTGCTCCGAGTAGCGATGCCAGGAGCCCCTAGTATGCCAGGAGCCCCTAGTAGCGTCCTTGCTCCTAGTAGCGATGCCAGGAGCCCCTAGTAGCGTCCTTGCTCCTAGTAGCGATGCCAGGAGCCCCTAGTAGCGAACATGTTTCAAATAGGATTTGGTCGCTTGTCTAAGTTTTGTGGGTTGTCTTTTACACGTCTTCCTGATTGGTCCCCCTCCGCCACCAAAATGCAACTCTAAATGCGACTTGTTCGACATCAACCGTGTATCAAGCTTTGTCAAGCACTCTTTTCGGTCTAGCCGCTTGTACCTCCATTCTGAACCCGAGTCGGCCGCAGTGATCAGGCAGGAGCCATCTGTATCAGCAAAGCACACCATTAAGCCAGGCCCCATCGTCTTCAACAGTCGTGCGACGAAGGTGGATTTGGCATGTGTCCTCAGACGGTGACTGATACAAAGAAGCGCTTTCTGATACAGTTTCAGAAAATATACTAGTAACAAGAAGCTACAGTACTAGGATAGCTTCGGAGGCAAAGCTTGGCAAGAAAGTCATAGTTCCGGCCTGGGGGTGCTCAAAATGCTCAAGGACTCGGGCTCCGTTTCCTGAGGGAAATACAAAACATTTGAAAACATCATCGCTCAATCCCTCGAGTAACCCGAGCATCCCTCGGATCACCACATTAACCTGCCCCTAGTAGCGTCCTTGTATGGCCAGGAGCCCCTACCGATGCCAGGAGCCCCTAGTAGCGTCCTTGCTCCGAGTAGCGATGCCAGGAGCCCAGCGATGCCAGGAGCCCCTAGTAGCGTCCTTGCTCCTAGTAGCGCCCTTGCTCCTAGTAGCGACGCCAGGAGCCCCTAGTAGCGTCCTTGCTCCTAGTAGCGATGC